AGTGAAATTACATTCTACGCACGGTCTATGCGAGCTCCGCGGTTTGGAGCCTTTAGCCTAGTTTTATTGTTATACTTTTGTTCGTTATGTTTATTGCATCCCTATGTAAATATTTTTTTGTTTGGCACGATAAACGGTCTGTTTAAAAACAACAGCGTGTCTCGCGAGCTCTGTCCACTGAAATATCTTCGTTATTACAAATACGAAAAAATATTATTGACAAAATCAATGACTCTAGAATGTTGTATAGCGGCCACGTCTATAAGTTTTTAGAAAAAAGAGTAGAAGTGGCTCTGTTAATTCATTAAAGTATAACATACTTAAAATATAATTGAACAAGAATATTGGCAATCTGAGATTCGAAAATGTCTCGAACACTTAGAGGTTGTTATAGTTACTCAAATCATTGTTAACTTTAAATTTCGCATATAATGGAAGAATAAGGACATTGCGTTTTTATACAAGTATCTCGCTCGTTTTTTGTTTTACCATCAATTTAACAATTTTCTCTGTTCAATGTGAACATTATTTTTATAACAGATTCTCAGTTTGCTCGATGGAATACTATTTTTTAGAGGGCAGTAGAGTGGAGTGTTCATTGTTCAGATAGTCGAGGAACGTGATTGGACGGAACGGTGCAGCCCTTTGGCGCCAGTTCCTTCCTCAAATTCCGGCCGATATTTTTATTCTTTTCAGCGACGAGTTAATGATTGCGGGTACGCTCTCAGTATAATGGACTGTGATGTCAACGTGACGGGAATGGATACACGGAAATAGGTTTTTCAAATTCTGCCCCGCGACGACAGCGGGCTCGACGCAGGGCACCGTCACGTTTTATCGGGGAATTCTGAAATTATGTGCTCCATAAAATATCAACTATAGCAGTGCAAGTGTGATGTTAAAATTGAATATGCCAATTAGCGATCCGATATTTTGTTTCATATAAGCCATCCTTCGCTAATTGGTGTGTGATTATGAATGTACAACAGCGCTAATTGGTTTGTTGAATTCAAACTGTATTATTGTGCTTCGACTGCAGGAATGTATGCGTTTATATTACATGTAACTGTTAAAAAAGGTATAACATGCAGTTTATTTGAATATTGTGTTTATTTTAACGCCCATCGGAAGAATTAGCGGAAAAAGAGTTTTGTTTACGTTTGGCCTCCATAAATTTAATGTGGGAAATTTTATTTTGCATAATAGTTATTATTTGTTATATTTTATACTATTTTACGAATTACAGGAATACCATTATATTCGTATTATAACGATTTGCACACATATTATGTTGCGCAACATATAAGATAATGAAGACACGTTCATTAACCTAGAAATTCTTGGAAGAAGTGTTTTTAATTAGATCGGTTAAAACGTAGCACAAAAATGAAAGAAAATTGCTCGATGGTTTTCTGAGTTCATCTCCAAACGCGTGAAGTTTCAAAAAAAAAAATGGAATTTTCGAGTGACCGAAATTCCCTTGTTAGAACAGTGTAATGGACACAAGGGAAATTTGGTTCGTCGGATTGGTTTTTAAAACCCAGAAGTTTATTAAAATTGGAGATACTGAAATTTTGCAGCGGATGTACGACTAGATTGGCTTTTTGACGGTTTCTGAATAAATTGGCATCTTCTGATATTTCGAACTTCGACGGTGAATTTGATTTTGCAAGACCATCCGAAGTTGGCAGACACGCTTCACGCGGACTTAAATAAAAATATTAAATTCAGTATCTTCAGGATAGTTTTTGGATTGCGAAACTTCATAAATATACACGCAGATCTTCTCACTAATTTTGAGAAATTGGAAAATAAATTTGTACATTGCATTGAGAATCTTTTTCTCCGATTTCAAACTCAGCAGCAGCTCGTACTCGGATTTTCAAAAATATCAAATTTAAAAATGAGTGTGTTCACTCTTATTTTATGGCATGTAATAATTAGGGAAAGAAGTAATGCTCGTTACTTTTTTTAGAAACTACGAAACCTGCATATTTATTTAGATATTACAAAAAATCGTTCTGGACAACGAAATATTTATGCGCACTAATGGTTAGTTCAATTTCGTTATAGAAACGTGAACTGAAATATCGATCCACTTTACTTATTGAGTTATGAACGGAATTGTCCATTATTGACAATTGCAATCGACAAATCGAAATTGCATTATTGATATTCCTCGAACTATTGTAACATGACAGATCTTTCAATGCAGTTCCAGTTAATGCAAATAATAAACGGTACTGTTGGCGACGACAGAAGTGAATTTACTAATGCAATTAACGCAAGAATAGTCAATAACATGTTTCATACGGTATTTGTCAAAATTATTATCCACGCTCATATAAAATTTGACTAAACGCTTACTAGACTTTTTGAACATTTTTTTCGAGCCTAAATTTATCTTAAGAAACGTTTCGCTTTTGCGACACTTTGTTATATTCGTAAAATTTTGTATATAAAAAATAGTATGTTTACTTTATAACGTAGAAAATAATAATAACATAAGGACCGTTGTATAAAAAAATATATTGTTCTAAAGATTTATATTCGTAAGAAGAAATATAACCATCTTATGAATATGTAATTATATTGTGACAGAAAAAGCTCAACATGTTGATGTAGTAATAATGTTTCAAATAATGTAACAGTGGTAATTTTCAATTAACAGTTTTCGGTGCAGGTACAAAATTTATTTTAAATTGTTATCATATGTGAAATCAATTCTCAAATAAAGTGGATCATATTTTGGTATCCTAGCGTAAGAAATTTAAAATACCAAGATAGGAAATACAAAATATAAAATACCAAATGGAGAAAGATGTTTCCATAGACTCTACCTACATATTCGAGAGTCTTTCGGTCGGAGTTTGATAACTAAACCACTCAAACTGCTAGTCCGTGCTTCCTACTTCATAGCATAAATTCAAAAGTCGTACTTTACAGGGTGCTTCAAAGTTAACCGATCAAACTTCGTCAGTATGTGTTATGAATAAAAAAGTAAGGAAACAAATATTTTACATTGGCACATTTATATTATCGGAGCTGTACTGAGCAGTGAGAAATGAATTTAACAACTCTAAACAACTCGGTACATGGTACTTTCGTACCACAATTGTCCACTAGACACATCTTTGAAAATCAGTAATACAATATTAAAATAACGTACATAATTTATTATTATGATATAAATCATAAATATATTACCTTTTAAGGAAACAATTTAAGAATCTCAGGAAACTGAATCGAGGAAATTTAAAAAATTAAACAAATCGCGAAGAAATTGAAGAGCTTCGAAAATTGAAAAATTTAAGAAAACGATTCACATGAATAAATCAATTTCAATCCGCGTAAAGTCAATTAAGCTAGAATTCTTCGCGAACGATCTCATTATACGGCGAGAGGTTAAAAGGAAGGGAAGCTCGTGCAGCACAGCAGCTTCGACGTTATCGTCGGATCGAGAGTCCGTGCATGCTGTTCCGACAGAACGGGAACGCCGTTCGCGGCTCGGATGAAAGCTGTCGACGCACGGATGGACATAATTCGCGGCGAACGTTGCTTTTAATTTCACGGGTAAAATAAGGCGGGCGGGATGGAAAGTTCGCGGGAACGGGGTTACATGTTGCGGGGGCATTGAGCCGGCAAAGATTAAGTTCTCGGCGAGGCAGTTATGCCAATATGAAAGCCTTCCGGTCCGAGGGAACAAAGTTCGGTTGTTTATAGCGCGCCTAAACTTCAGCCACCGATAGGAATATACCTTATTCCTCGCCGCTCGTTTTATTTTACGAGGGTGCGCGAGATACCGCCGACCGGAAGACGAAACTGAAATCTCGCGTGTTCGGTATCGTTTACCTTTGGGAGTTGCCGCGGGAGTTCCGCGAAATGCCTCGCGGATGGAAAACGGTCTCTGAAAAATCTGCCGGATCGCCTGGTTTCTGCTCGGATCTTGCTCGCGCATCGCCGAAATTGTTTGTACATAATCTCCGGCCGCTGGGTAAGTTTGTACAAATATTGTGAAACGTGTAATTCAATGTTTAACGTTGGAGAATCGCGATGAGATTTGTACAGAAAATTTGATAGAATATGACGACTTCGGCGGGTTAGCGAAGTGTAAATATGCGTGGATACGATTGTATCTTTCAAGCGTAAATATACTTAGGATGCAAAGAGATAAATATGATGTTTGTTATGCTTTTGAAGGAAAGCGTATCGTTAGAATTATTACAGTTTCTGAATCGTGTTTTAAACATTTGGTTGTACTATGCATACGAAGTGTTCGAAATAGAAAGATGGAACAGAAAGCTGTCGAATAAAATATGAGCTACTCATTGCTCAAACTGATAGACTGAAAACAAAAAGTAGAGAATCGATACAATAGATATACATCGATTTGTAAGATCTCCTTTTAAACGTGAAATCAAATAATCATAGAATGTGTTTCACTTCGCTGTTAAGGTGCGACTTTCCATCGAATACGTAAAATGCATAAAATAGAATTTTTATTATTATTACAATTTTATTTCCGTGTACACACCAAACCCAATTATAAAGAAGTTCGTTCCAAACATAAAAAGTTAAAATCCAATAAAACGCTTCAACGACTAACCATCAAGAGATTCAAGAAACACAGTTAACCCAGTAGGTCAACGCGAGGTTTATACACACTTTCACCTTAAAATCGGGAAAAAATCTATGTATCAGTGAAACAGCCCGACGGCAACGTTAACTCGGGAGCGCCGAGTGCTCGGTCCACTAGGAAACACAATAGCGAACAGCATTTCGCGGGTATCAAAAATTCATCAGCTGATCCCGCCGGTAATCCGCGATTTCTTCCGGGCCACCGGCGAGTTTCTACCGAGTGGGTTAGGAAATCGGTTTTTGTTTTCCTTCCGAGTCGTCGAACCGGAAGGATTCCTTCGGAAAATGAAAATCAACCGGGGAGGCAGGGGCCGGCAGCCTCGACTTACGTCGGTCAGCTGAATTATTCAGAATGCACTCACCGACGACGTTCAGCGTGTAGTTCAGCGACATCTTCGGCTCGGTGCTGACCTGGCACTCGTAAACCCCGGAGTCCCGTGTTTGGGGCGACTTGATCTGCAGGGTCCAGTTCTCGGACTTCATGTGATGGATCACTTGGAACCTCATGTCCGAGGTGTACAGCTCGAGGCCCGCGCTCAGGATATGCATGTCCTTTTTACGCATCCAGGTCACCTGCAATGATAACCAGAGGCGAGCCGATTTAAGCCGGATGACGACACGGGATCCATCTTGGGCATGCAGTCGCAGCTGCACCTACATACCGCAGGCCGAAACGATGCTGAGTTTAGAAGAATCGCATTTACGTTGGGTACAATTAGTGGACGAGGGATGTTTATTGCGAATGCAAGGAACGCAGAGTGAAACGGACCAGTCGGGTGAAGGGACAGTAATGATTTTCATAGAGAAAGAGCTCGTATCGAGATGATGTTGCAAACATGGTTCTAATTAGTTCTCGATGTAGTTTGATTATTTTTCGACTAAAAGTGAAAAGATATTCCGTGAAGAAGTTTCGATGTTAGATGTTTGAAAGACTTTGTTTCACCTTTCAGTATAAATTGAACGAAATAACTACAGTATTTACTAGATTCTACGTTCCTCAATGGCGTCCCATTTTATCCTACTTTCCCCCATTTAAAATATAGTATTCAACGGAAATGGATGGAGAATCTGCAGGGTGGTGTTTTAAAATTTTTGTGTGCAGTACACGGGACACCTGGACTATGCGTATGAATTTCATTGAAAATTGGGTTAACAATTTTCTCTATATTTTAAATACTTTGCGCCAGTGTATATTTTTTAAAAACGAAGGTAAACGCAGAGAAATTTGGAGAGAGATTGCATTATTCGTACATACTACGAATATATCTCTTATCGTGTGTATACAAAAGTATGTTGCGTATTCCATATGCATTTATCATCTACTAATTATTAATCAGTCCATTAATTATTAAGCAATACATTTTCATTCACTTCTGTTTTCTCGTTACATATAAATTATTCTGTTAACATTATTCATGTTATATTATTCTCGTTAAATATAAATTATTCCGTTAACATTATTCACACGGCCATTTTTTTCCCTCTAAAATTTAAGCTCCCGCTATCGTTTTAAGGAATGTAGAATTTATATTATATTTCCTTCATAAAAGAGGAAATAAAATAATTGACGGTGAATCTTGAAAAACGCGTTCCACAGGATTTAATTACACAGTGACAAAGTCCTCTCTTTTCCCCTCTTTTTCACCGTACTCGCGTCAAATGTAAAATATTCTATTAACTATCTTTGTGTATTATTTTAGCCTCGATATCGTATAAAACCGTTATCGTAAATTCAATTGTGAAATTTCAGCATCCTTCTCGAAAATATTTCTTTTCGCGAAACGTAGAATAAAATTTCGAATAATTGACGCCAACGTGTAAGCGCCAAATTTTAATTACACGCCGATGAATTGATACTTCCCATCCCCTTTCCTTGCAAAGTTATAACACTTTATTAACTTTTATTGTACAGTAATTTGTTTTCGATATTTTGTAACACATTCATGCAAATTCAATCGCGAAATTCGAGCATATCTTCGTTGTTCTATGAAATGTAAAACTTATCTTTATAAAACAGAATTCAGCACTGTGCCTTCTTATTACGGTTATAGCGAAACAACATTATTTTGGAAATAAACGGATTTCACGAGCGCCTTACCGAAACTTCAGATAACTTCGTCGAGAACAATTCAGTTTCTCCGTTGGAAGTTTAGGTTGATGTTCTATTAGTTTATGTCAAAACAGACGAAAATGTTAACTATTCTATGTAATCATCTTCTTCGCTCTGAAACTCCTTATTTCTTAAATCGCTGTCACACAGTATCGCGTTACGATTATCAAATTAATTTTATTTTTAAAACGGCAAAATATTTTTAACGAAAAACCAATCGACTCGTAATATTGGTTTTCCTTGGTCCGAACTAAAAATCTTCACCGGTGGTCTCGTTTGTCATCGTACGACAAGGGTTAAGGAATAAGCCATAAATTTTTGGAAGGGGTGAAAGATCCAGCTGGCTGCAGCAGTTCCAAAGGTTAACCGACATCTTGAAACACAGACGACGAAAAGCAACCGCCGAAAGCCGTCGTAAATCTCGGTTGGTCGGCGTACGTTTCGCGAAACGCTTTCTATAGCTTCTCATTGTTTTCCACGCTAACGTGTCCGCCAACCGTTTAATGCCTCCGGAGAGTTTCCTGGGCATGGTTCTCGCGACCACGTCACAGCCACTGGATCCAATTAATTTCCTCCTTTTAAGATCCTTTAATTAGCGATAAGTGATGCGCTTGATAGCATTTAAATTAGTACTGCACTTATAAAATGCGATCTCCTGCGAACTGTTTATTCTTGTATTTTTTATTATACTTAACGGTACGTTATGACATCGATAGGAAAAATATCTGACGATATAAAAGACTTAACTGAGTTTGTAATCAGTCATGGCGAAAGATATTCCATTTTTATGGATACGAACCATTATGGAAATGCAGTTTCTGTTTCTGTACGAATGTCGTGAATTGATTTTTCTGTGTAATTTGATTGATAATAATATTTCACGGTAATTGAAAATCAAATTATAGATGATGAATAATTTCGATTGACGGGAAGTAAACGATGTAATTGTTTATTGGTAATAGAATTGCATAATAGATGTATCAATTAGATAGTCACAATTTGTGCTGTTAATATTTATTATTATAATTCTGTTGATATTGTATAATTTATTACGGTTTTCAGCGTTGGTGTAAAGTGTTTCTATGAAAAAGTAATCAGAGCAAAGAATTCGACGTTATATATATATATATATTATATACAACTTTGTATTAATTGAAAAGAGATATTAATTGTCAGAAATTTAAACATTGTTCTCTTTAATCCACCGAAGCGAAAAGCAATCCTTTGGTAAGGCGAGAAGTTTTATCGTCAGTTCCCAAAATTTGTTCAGTATTTTGTAAACAATGCTTTACGCGGTAATTAGTATGGTAAATCCTTGTTCATACCGTGTTACACGTTATAGAATTTTCTTGCCTAGAAAACTTGCCTGCCCACAGACTTGGCTGAGGGGGATCGTTTTATAATTAATTTTGCGACTACACTTTCCCGGCTGGTATAGAAGCATACAATTAAAATCGTTTCAAGCGTTTACCCTGTGAGACGTTTTTGCACAGTAATTACACAGCTGCAAATTAACGTCTACAAGGTAAATGCTAAGCGATTACATTACACACCCATGTATTATATAGTAATTTTTCAATGCAGCAACTACCCCTTTGAACTGGGGATAATTTTCAGAAACATTTCATTTTATACGTACTTCCTAATGAACAAACAGTTTGTATACGTAACAAAGTTTCGGACCGCTTGACGTGTAACGTCGGAAATGAAAAATTATATATCTCATAAATGTACGAAATGAAATAAACAAAAGTTATGTATCTTTATATTTGACCTATATACATATGTCCAGATTCCTTTATCATACGCACAAATTCTCCGATAAAAGTTGTTTTCGAAAGATGGAACTTTTTCTTTTAACCGATACATCGGCCCCAAACTTTTAACCGATAGTGTATCTATAATAAAAAATTACAAAGTAGGTAACATGTTAATTGTTATCAATGCAATAATATTAGAGCTCAGATAATTGTTTTTAATTATATAATTTTTGAAGAATTAACTTTTGTCGCAGAGTGGATTAGATGCTGTACAATGTAAGAATTTTTATAGTTTGATGAAATATGTTTCTTTTATAGTTTCCCCTCGATATTCGCGACTTTTCATGAGATAAGTAAATTACGGAATTTCAGTGTTAAGTTTTATAACAGTGTTTCCTATGTTATATGGCAGATATAGTGTATCAAGTAATTATAATTTTAAAATAGAATGTATTAAATGGAACTTTGAAATTCTGCTTGGCTGTTAGACAAGATATCAGTAACTAATCTAGCAATACGCCAATTGGGCCCTAATTAGTCAAACTAATCTTACTAAGTAACTGCATCCTAATCATTCACCATCAGGACGTGTTGGGAATTGACAATCATACAAGTATTATGCACCAGAATCCTCAGATTAATTAAATTGAATACTGTAGAGGCGCTACAAACTTTCGGGTAGAGCGTTAATTAAACAGGATTGCGATAAAGTTTAAACTTGAACTCGATGGAATGTTTATGCGATAATCAGAACAGATGTACTGATAACCTATAAAATAAGAAATTCTTCTTTATAGATGTGTTTCATTCAAATTTGGATGAAAATAAGTGATTACGTTGATAATACACTAATACTAAGTATAATATTCTTTAGAAAAATGGTTAATTACTTATTTAAAGAATAATATTCTTCGGTTTACGATTAAAAGTAATAAAAATAAACGCTTGAGAGTTTACACGATCAAAGTTAACACATAAATAGAGAAAAATACTAAACTAACAACCAAAAAACAATAAGCAATAGCATTTCGTTTCCTTTTTATCTTCGAAATCATTAAAACTAATAAAATATTTTTGAATTCTTATTTTTATAAGTAAATTGCAAGAAATTGCGACTAAGTAAAATTTGATTTTCCATATTAATAATCTTGATAGACGATAAAAGTAATCGAATGTCAATACTGTAATAATTTAATTATAATATTACACATGTAAGGTATATTTTACTGCTAATAATATTACTATAACATTCTACAATAAATATCACCACAACAGATATTACTAGTACCATTTTCTTAGACTATTGCTTATCTCGTCATTTCCAACTGACTCAACTATCTCAATCATGAATCGAGAATAACATTCAGAAATTTAGCTATTATCGTTCCTTCGTTGCCTTCCCAAGAGGAATCGGGCATACGTATCTGCCCTCGATGGTATTTTAGGCGAGGAGCATTGTTTAGCAATCATGAACCGCAAATTCTAGCTTCGAAAGCGTTTTACCCGTATTTACTTACTCCGGCATGATCTTTGTCCATCAAACGAAAATTACCCCCAAAAAACGCCGAAAACTGTTTGCCCGTGATTATCGTAAGGCTCCTTATAATGCTCATTGTACGTTTCATATCCAGAAATTAGAATTGAATGAATATCTTCATTAACTACACAGGAAATAATACGGAATTTAGTTTAAAGCAGCGGGA